GCGTCCGTCGTGTTTGTGGGGTTCCTGGCCATCGCGGCGGTTTGGTATGCTGTATATGCGCGGAAATGTAAGTTTCCTATCTGCATCTCGTGTCTGTTGGACGTCTGCTCATGCCTGGTTTGCACCTTCTAGCATACAAAGGACCCCCGGAGTCGGATGGACTTTGAAATACTGATACCATCCCGGATCTCCTGGTCGGGGTCAATCCTTACGCATGTCTGTCTTTCTTGGTAATCTCGTAGTCACTTATGACGCCATAGGATTTCAGATAATTAGTTACAATGTGTACACGCCAATAGGCCTTCCTTCTGTTCGTAGGATAACATGCAGCCCTGCTGAGTCGATGGACTGACAATCACTCTTGCAAGGAGTGGTAGGCGTATACCTCCTGATTATATTGATCTGCTAGCCTCTCCCTATTAGGAATTCAGCACATCCGGCTGATAGTCCGCACTCGCTAACAAACTGCCCAGATCTCGTCCGTTGTCTATACTATACCCCCTGCGTCTCCTGGGTACACCCTCGTTGGGAGCACGCCGGTGCGATGCTACTACACTCTCGCTCGGCCGCCGTCGCCGCACGAGCTGATACCCCTTGTCGAGCTCGATTTCGATCACACAGCGAACCTTGAGGGCACTGATGGCCGGCCATACGCCCCTTTCACCCTTCAAGATCCAGTATGCCAGGTTGTCCTTGCTTGGGTTCTGTAGAAGCTTCGTAAAGTCCCTCAGAGATAGATTGGGGACAAGCGTAAGATTCGATCCAGGGATCGTCTCTTCGATGAGGAGTCGGCCGATAACTTGGGGCAGGAGACCGATGTAGTTCAGCTGTCGAAGCCGGTGGCGGAGCTCCACGGCGACTAGGCGCATCAGCGGCCGCGTGATGTTCCACTGGCCTGTCTGCTGGCGGTCTAGCAGGTTCAGGTCCGAGCCCAGGAATGGAATGAGATACGGCCGCGCTTGCGACACGATGAAGTGGTTGACGTTGAATAACTCGGCGATGCGGGAAAGCGGTGACTCCCCATCGTTATAATGTACGTGGCGCCATGACTGGAAGGTGACGTCCTGAGAGTGTGGCCAGGGGACTATCGAGCCTGTTTCATCTTTGCAGTATATCGTGACAGGCTGGTAAAACGAAGCCGTCGATGCGTTCGAGGCAACTGCCGCCGACCAGATCAACTGTAGCGCGTCAGCCTGGTTCACGAAAACAAAGAGACTTTGTTCCAAAACTGAGGTTTCAAAGCTGAGAGTGTATACTTACAACATTCGGCGTGGTCAGGTAATTCAGCAGGTTCGGGGTGCCATTCTTGCCTGATGTCGCTATTGTAATGTTCAAGATACGTTTCGACCGTGCATATGCTTCCTCGAATGTCAGATCACCCAGGTTGGCCCGCACGCATTCCTCCAGAACTCCAGCGTCGAGAAAGTAGCCTTTCTCAATGTAGCGCTTCACCCGACGAAAAAGTGTCCCAAGCCAACCGTCTTCGCTACTGTAAGGCAGTCCCGGTGCGTGCTTGCCAGAAAGCTTCTCCGTTTGTCTGCGATCAAAAGCCGTCAAATCGATCCCATCACTATCAAGGAACGTCAACAGTTCGTCTTGTGAATGGATCCCAACCAGAGCCGCAATGAGCGCTCCTGTCCCCGTCCCCGTGATGATTCTGGGCAAAAGACCCTGCAGATGCAGAGCCTTGACCACACCAAGGTGGCATAGCCCAAATATCGAGCCACCTTGTAGGAGCAGTGTTGTTCTACCGAAAGCTTGACGAGTGTCATGCAGGAGCTCCAGCTTGGCCTGCGAGGTGAACCCACTCTCGTGGACTGGAGCGGTGTGCAGAGCCGTTATGTGCTGGATCGAAAGTGCGACTTGTGTGATATAGTCATCAATGAGGAGTTTCGTGCCAGCGTACGCATTTAAGAAGAGTTTCGGGGAAGTGATGTTGCCCAGGTTGCGGACAAGGCCGGAACGAAGAAGATTGGCCAGTGTCAGGATATCTTCCTCTTCTCGAGCGGTCATCAAAGCTTCCACCCGCCCCAGAATCAGTCGGTAGTCGTAATGTCGACTTGTCGGGTTCTGGCGCCTGCACTACTTTTAGCTACTATCCTTATAAGCCCAGGCAGGCGAACCAACTTACCATAAATCCGCACTCCGGAGCTCGTCCAGCTCAAAGGCAGCCTCTTCCCACTCCTCAAATGTCTGCGCCGTGGCCAGACAATGCCGCAGCCTAGTTCTAGGCGATTTCGAGAACCACCATGACAGTAACCTCTGTGGGGCGACCATGATCAGCACAGCCATTGGAGCATCTTTGCGCGGAGGTAGAAGGGCATACATGTTTCCAGAACAGCACGACGTCGAGCACCATGCTAAAGATCGCAGAGAAAAGCTTAGAGATAGATATCCAGGACTCCATCTCTTTATGGTAGGCTACGAACGGTGTGCGGTGAGCGTGATGGCAAACGGCGCATGTGGGTGCTGCTTTCACATGCTAGGAGTTGATGGGGTATGACATATGACGCGGAGAAGGTATCTCATCAAGGCAGCTCTGCTTCTAGCGGCAATCAAATTAAGATGAAGATCATTCCGACAACAAAAGAGCCCCAAGACCGAGGTGCTGTGGAAGATAGATGGAGGAGAAGGAGTTGTTGTTGGAGGTTACCAGGGTAGATGAAGAAAGATAGACATGGGGTCTGTCGGAGCATTGCAACTCTCCACCACGAGTGAAATCAACAACTCCCACCGTCCCGCGTTAGTTCCGATGTATATCCATGGTCTATAGATGTCTATTTCAAGAAGATTCATATATTTGGCTACACTTAACGACTTCTCTGGGCTCTCACCTCAAGTCGCCTTGGAGCGAATGCCAGTCCTTGCGACCCCTGGCTTGGCTACAATTCCTCGGATGTAGGCAGAAAAAGGGACGGGGACAAGGTCCTGAGATATGTATTCAGGAGTGTTGTACCAAGCTTGAAAGGAGGTAAAGGAAACTGGGATTAATCATAGCAGTCGGACATTTTCTACACACTATGTTCCCCAGATGAGAAAAGCCATATCGGTAGACACGTAAAGGGGCATTCAAATTCCGTTTTGGTTTTGCATTGATTTTCGCTTTGCTTTTTCCCTAATGCAAGTAGTGCGAAATGAAGTTCTCCAGACATCCTCAACTACCCAGAACGGCGGACGGACCCATTAATCGCTTATTCCTCAACAATGTTGCCTCTCTCCGAAACGTACAGACCGTCAAGGAACTAGATATGAGGAATCAGCATCAGGGCACACACCAGAACGTAAAAGGCCGAAATTCATACCTTCCGGATATCCTTGTTACGGACTCTGCAAATCTGCTGGATGTCGGCAGCGCTCTGGGAGACAGCCTCCAGGGAGTTACCGGAGAGCTGGAGCTCATCCTTGACATTGGTGGAGGTGACGACCTCGACACCGGGCTGGGCGGTGATACGACGAACGATCTTCTCACCCAAGAAGTTTCTAAAAAGCGCAAAGGAAGCCCATCAGCACAGCTCTTCTTCTTTCCAAACGTGAATGCGACAGAAGCTCGCGCGGCCAAAGATCCCGTCCTCTCGAGATCCTGAAAGGACGGCCAATTCTCTTTCCCCAGCTTCCTTCAATCGAGGGTTATGCGCAGCGTACCTGATCTCAACCTCATACTGGCCGGTCTCGGAGTTCTTCTCAATGTTGACGTTGATGGGAAAGTGAGCGTAGACGTAGCGCATCTTGTACTTGAAGCCCTTGGTGACACCGATGATCAGGTTGTTGATAAGGGTGCGGACGGTACGCAGGGTAGCGATGCCCTTGCGGACACCGTGGTGCATCTCGATGGAGATAACATTCTTCTCGGGGCGGCCGAAGGTGACGGCAATGTGGGAAAGGTCCTTGACGAGCTTGCCTGATTCGCGTGAAAAAAGTTCCATGTCAGTGCCGTTGATTCCAAGCGATTGACGGGCCACTCTTCTCGACTGAAATATCTCCCTCTGCTCGAGGAGAGAATTCCGAAACGTGACAGGTGTAGGGTATTGTATTCAGCGTACCTCGGGGTCCCTCAACGGTCACAACTCGCGAGCGAATGTGAACCTTCACTAAACGACACAAGTCCAGATTAGTCCTTGTTCCTCTCAAGACATTGATCCCAAACAGCGGTCATTCTCGCATCTCCTCCTCTTCGGCAGGCATGCAACAGCAGTCTTCCTTGCACACAGTTCCTGTAGCCAGACCGGCGCGACAACTTCCCAGCGCACCCAATAGCACCGCTATTTGTCTTCCATTCTGCTCCGGCGTCTTTGCCTCCAATAACCTCAAACAACAAGGGACGAATCGAATGCTCACCATTCTCGGGAATTGGCAGCCTTTCCTCGGAGTAAATGTACCGCATCTTGACTGCGTGGGCTGTGGAATGTCCGAGGGGAGAATTGTCGATGTCGTTCGTGCGGTCGGTCGTCGAAAGGATCGAAATTCAACGAAGGCGGCCTGGTCTTGGTGGAGCGAAAATCGAGGGCGGGCGGGTTGTGCGTCGCTTAACGACCATTCCGGCTTAGCGCATTTTCTAGGGCTCTGCCGGCCGCCAACGGACATCTTACGGTAGACTCAGGTACCTTTTGATTATTACGAGCATGTTAGATATCTACTAGTACTACTGTCATCATTGACTATAGATATTCGGTAATACTCCATTCGACAGACCCTATTGATTGACTCGAAGTTCAGGTGTTACCTCTTTCTCCTGTCGTTGTGATGTCGCTGAACAGGCGCCTGAGGCATCCCAAGAACATAATATAAGAGCCACATGAACATCATGGGACATTAAGAAGGGAAACTCATGTCGTTCACTTCTTAATCTTGGTTGCAATGACTTGCTCATGTGTGTCTATCGCGAAGAGATTGTGCATTATATACCCAGAGAAGTCGTGAGAAGAGAAGAACCCAGTAACCCAGTAGCCCAAACGCCTGACCAAACTCCATGCTGTATCCTCATACCTGTCGCGCGGTTACCGTCACTCAGCCTGCTTATTTTGGTCCTTACGATCGACCTCCTGTACCCATTTCCCACCCAGACTCTTCAGCGTCGAGGCAAGCTCGTCCTTCTCATCCAGTGCAGTCACATCGTCACCGCCGCCTATGCTCTTTCCATTGACGAGTACATTGGGTACAGTATGTCGGCCAGTGTTCTTTGCCAAGAGCAATTGAAGTTGTTTTCCCATTGCATGCTGGTCGAGTTCGACCACGTGCGGCGCGGGCACTATATTATATTTATCGAGGAGGATGGACTTTGCCCGCTTGCTATAGGGACAGTAAGATTTGGAGAAGATGACGACTGTAGAGCATGTGTTAGTAACCCACTCGTAGACATCAGATATGGGCTTTTAGGGACAGAACGTACTGGGCGACCTTTTAAGAATAGCATTGAGCTCGTTCTTGACTTCTGAGTCATCCTCAGAAGATGCCTGAGCAGGCTCTTGCTTGGACGAGTCCTGATCCTTGTTCTTTGGTACCGTCATCTTCGTGCGCCCTGCAATTGAGATCTCTTCCATCTCCTCACTGGCCCCTTTGGGGATGGCCACCTTGACTGTATCCGCCTCCTCCACTACAGGTTTTACATTCTCCTCGACGGGCTTTTGAGGCGCAGGTTTCTGCGGCTGCACATCCTGTTTTGATGCAGCCTCTTTTGTTTCTCTGTGGGCCTCTATCGCCGCGACGGTAGATCGGTAGAATCTTTGATTTTGTATTGTTCCGGCGTCGCCCTAGCATTCGCAAGCTATATTAGTTACTGTATGCTTAGTTCTCACAGTGTAGGGTAGTGGTACCGAATAGTAGAAGATCGTGACCATCAGCACCACCGCAGCTATAAGCAGAAGCCTGATGCGCCGCTGAGACAACATCTTGTTCAATGTTCTGCTTGACCTCCTCGATCAGATATGGCACCACTCCAGCGCTGACAATCTGATAAGTGTACTTTTTTGACTGCGACTGTAGTTATCTTGCGTCTAGCATGAGATTTGCATGGAGAATTCACGCTCGTTCAGCTCCGCGGCAATGGAGTACCAGGGGTAGCTTCTGTACATTGACCACGACAATCAACCCCTGCGTAAAGAGACAGACCACAGGGAAATCAGATAGCCTGAATATGTTCTTGACTATCCTAAGCTTCTCAGGTCCGCCTGGAACTGAAACAGTGACCAACTTGTAATGTGGGCAATTTGCCATGAGAAAGGCGGCGAAATCGTCGTTTGGAGCTAGGTACATTGTACCTCCTTAGCTCGCCCTTCAAGTTACGTCACGGTACCTTAGTATCCCTCTCCGTGGGTTGGATTATGGCCGGTCAACATTGCCTATTCAACGCAACAGAATGGCTCTTATCTATCGCTTTGGATGTTTCTGAGACAGATTCAGTGCGGTTGTTTGCTGATTATTTATTAGGAACTACATTAAAAGCTCGGCTATCTATGCTATAATGGGTATTCTCAGAGTAACAAACAACAAGCAGAACAAGACTATTGGTATCATGATTTAAGCAAAAGTGAAAGGCATAACTCTCGAAGACGACGTGCAATAAGTGTCCTGATATCGAAAGCAGGACTCGAGGCTGGGATCATTATCAGGGGTATCGAGATTGCTGCAAGATGACGGCCGCAGACCTGCAGCGGTGTCATTCTAAACAATAGATAGAAAAAGGAATCTCTCAACTAAAGAGCTAAGGATTTTGGCTGATGGGTGATTGTGTTGGTAGTGTTGATAAGAAAAGCATATAACGCGTGCTCAGGCGTGCATCATGAATCATGTAGGCAAGGCGAAACCCGGACGCGGTCCCACTGTCCCTCGTCGCCTGCCCTGGACCACGGTCATCCAGTCCTCCCACTCTTTCGCGATCTCCATCAGCACGTTACCCATAACGGTGGCTGAAGCCATTAATCCGTGACCTTCGCCCTCGAGGACTCGAACTTCGCACCGTCGCATGCCTTTACCCAACCAACGGACATTGTCGACAGGGACACGAGTATCTCTACTTCCGTGGTGGATGACAACATTGCGAGTGATATCCACATAGCGGAATCCAATCGTTTGGCGGCGTTCTAGGCAGACTAGAAGATCAACCGCCGGGTTTGCGTTCGTTGTGGCTAGCTCCCATATCTTGTGTGTCAGCCTGTTATCATAATCGCTCTGGCGTTCGCGTTCTTCAGTCGAGACTATGGCTGTCTGGCTCGTGGTGACTTCAACCTGCTTGACATCTGTGCTTTGAGAGACGACCGGCGCCTTCAAATTCTGTAGCGCTTTGATATCATCCCCCTGTTGATGTATCTTGGACTGAGCCCGCCCAGGCCCTTTCGGCTCGGTCACCAACGCAGGGGACGTATCTTTTGAAGTTGTCTTGCGTCGGGTGCGGCGAGGAGCTTTCGGCAAACTGGAGGTGAGACTAGCGCTTGCGGCACTCATGAAACTCGAGTTGGCGACCTTCAGGAATGACGCAGGCAAAGCTCGCAGAATCCGCTGGGAATACGGAACAGCATTGGTAGGTACAGGTTCCTTGTGTGGCCCCATGCTCGATAATTGAGACGGCGGAATCCAAGGAGCCAGAAGGTGGATACGGCCGCGGATGTGTTGCGGAATTCTCAACGCTGTTGCCAACGCATAAATCGCTCCGGCAGAATGAGCCAGTATCGAAAACTTGTTAACTTTGAGGTGATTACACACGATTGCAACATCATCTATCATGAGTTAGTGAAGAAAGTTCGGAAGAGCCGAAGACAGGTCGGTTCCCCTTACCAGGCCAACTGAGAGGATTTCCTGCCTCCTCTGCATAAGGTGCGCTTTCACCTACTCCGGGGCGATCCAAGGTCACTAGTCGGAGATTGAGAGACCGCGCCAACTCGTCGTAAAACGCCATCAGATACCTAGTCAGGCCCATACCGAGGCAGCACAATACAACGTGACCCTTTGGATCCCCAACCTCGGAAAATGCTATGGCGCGGCCTGTTGTTGGGTGGGGAACTTTTTGAGTAAGTTTAGGCGATGAGATATACTCTAAGACCGCGAGGTCTATCGAGTCGGCACTCGACGGTCGTTCGTCGCTGACCGAAGCATGGACTGGAGAAGCAGGCCCGGACGGGGCACGTTTGTGGTGCCGCGTCGAGGCCGAAGACTCCAATGATCGTCTGGAGCGGAGTTTTTCATTCTGATCTGGCTGATCGAACGATTGCCTATGCAGTGGCAAGTTGGGAGTTTTCGATGTAAGCGGAGAGTCACTTCGCGTCGTGGTTCTGCTCTTCCCGGTCATTACGGCCGGTGCCGGGGCACTCTCGTCGAACACGAAGGCCCCTCTTGCATCTGCATATTCTCGCGGCGCTGGGTGATGGCTTGCGTGGCTTGAAGTCCTAAGGGGTTGACTCGGCCTAGTCGATGAATCCTTGGAACACTTGTCTGGGCTGTCGTCTGTTTCCAATTCGGTCTTGATCCTTTGCTGCTGATCCTTCAATTCTTGGATTCTCCTCGTGACCTGTTCAGCTTCGTTGCCAGCTCCACCGGCGCTGGACCCAACTTTCGTATCTCTGCTAGCGGTAGATGAGTACCTGGTATGGCGAGTGGATCTGCGCTTCCTCGGGCTGGAAGAGAAACTGTGACGTAACGAGGACTCGCGCGCTGGAATGACCCTTCCACTTCCGATACCTCCAGGCGTGCTGCTTACACTCCCTCGCGCGCTTTGCGATGACTGGCGTTCTCTGCTAGGCGGGGCACTGACGGCGGTTTGACTATGAATGCCCTTAGAGAAGTGATCCAGTCGCGCCTCCTCGGCAACGTCAGCCATAGAATGCATAGAGCGCAAGCTGGTCCTATTGCGGGGAATGTTATGCCTTAAGCTGTCGTTGTAACTACTCGTTTTCCGTAGACGATCTGCTTGTTTTTCCTTATCGTTCATAAATTCGCGCGAAGATCTCTTCAGCAGTCCAAGCTGGCTTTTTAGGCTCTTTCGACCTCCAGAAGCCGTAGATGCGATACTAGGTGCTGTGGAGACTCGGGGACCGGGCTCAGCTGTGATCATACCGAATGCGCTGTCCTCGCACGCGGCTTTGATCGATGTGTATGAGCTCCTGGAAGGAGGTCGCGTCGATGATAGAGAAGGGCCGAAAGTACTTTTCGTCTTGGGAGATGGAGGTGCTCTGGCCATGCGAATGACCGGAGCTGCTGCTGCATCGTCCGGATGTAGAAACGGGCTATGCGTCTCGTTCTCTGAAAGTTGCGCTCCGTAGCTTATTCCGAACCCATGGTCGCTTGACGAGTGCTGCTCTGTAGGAAGTTGTGGCTCCGATGGGAAGAATACTGAAAATATCGGGGAAGATGGATCCGTATCTAAGTCGATGCGCGGAACGTTGTCGAAATGAGATTGGAGGGGAGCAGAGATAGTAGAGAGGGACGAGATTAAAGACGTAATAACTTCCGGGGATGTTTGGTCGACTGACGGCCGACTTGTGGAATGCGAGCGAGATTTGCGACGTCGTGTGAGCAGGGAGGAAGACACTGGTTGTAAAGGGGCATGCGCCGTGGGCGCAGGAAAGTCCTCCATAGCGCCCATCTTCTCCTCTGTGTCTCTGACTCTGGTCCTTTTTTCCTTCTCTATTCGATTTCGGTATAGAGAAATGAATTATTTTTTGAACCTGGGCTTCTGAGAAACCCTGGAATTCCAGGAACCCCTCCAGCCAGATTCGGAAGAAGAGTTGAAAGTCACCGGCGATTGATGCGGAAGGGCGGGGCGAAAACTCGCATTATCCTGCAAAACGATGATAAAACTGGCTCAAACGGTGGAAAGCTTTAAATTTAATCAAAGAACGATGAATTGATGCATGTGCGAGTTCGACCGATTGGTGAAGATCCAGGGCGATCGTATCAAGCCCCCTGCGGCTTGTGAGCCCCTTGCAGAAGTTCGTTATCTGGGGAATAGAAAAACAAGAGGGGATGGGCAAAGCTTCGAATGGCTCGTTCCTGGAAGTTGAGATTATGATTATGATTATGATTATGATTTTGGATTTAGCAGAGGTTGGGTTTCAGAGAAGATATTCAAGGAGAGTATCTAGTTGATAATTCGGTGCCAAAAGGTTAAAGAAAGGAGGGGCAGTGATGAGAGTTAACTCATGTTATTATGTATCTAGTAGATATCTGGTAGTTAAGGAAAGGGAGAATGAAGGAGAAGGAAATAATGAGCCATTGTACTAGTAAGAATATTGATTAGCTTAGGAGTAGTGAGAAAAGGAGTATCTACCTTACTTAGGTTGTGTATTGGTTCTACTCCGAGAGGTCGATGGCAAACCGGCATCAAAAAGAATGGTTACTTAGGTCTGATTGGAAAATATCTATGGAGTAGATAGATAGGTAGACGAGATGAAGAACAATCCCTTGTTCTGGGCATCTTGGTTCTTTACTCCTGAAGATTCGAATCAGAAAGTGAAATCTTCTTCCATGTCTCCATCGTTCTAGGAGACTGATTAACCCAATTCTTGCTTAGTTTCCTTTGCTAGATACGAGAAATCCCACGATTCAGGGCCAAATGAGCCACTGCTCGAGTCTGCTCCTCCACATGGTTCGCAGATCCAAATTTCCCAAATTTCCAGAGGTAGTCGACAGCTCGCTTGCTCAAATGCCCGGTACAAATATGCCAGTTCAGCTTAGGTAGGCTTCAATTCACAGGCTTTGATCTGGATCTCTAATGCATGAAGCCTCGCTCGTCACTCTTGTGAGCTCAAAGGGATTCACCAAAATATAGAGAGATACTGAGTACTCCGTGGTCTATCTACTACTCCCTACTAAGGAAGTAAACAGTCTCCACCTCTCTTGCTTGGCAGTTGGCACTTGCAGAAGAGGCTGAGTGAGAACTGAGAAGAGTGAAGACCCA